TTTTAGTTATTAGCCTATTAAACAATCCTACATCCATTAAGAATTAGACGCAGCTTCCAAATAACTGTGTAACCCTGAAGCGCATATTCAAGGGAGCAGGGCAGGGGGTCTGTCCTTTGCGCTGTGACAGACGGGGCAGGTGACTGGCTCTCTGGGGATCCAAATATGACGGAAACTCACAGAGTCGACGAACCCCGCGTATCCCGGAAAAGCAGGCTCTGCTGTGTTTCTCCTCCGTGAGGACGGCTGTGATCTTCTGCCTCCCTGCTCTGTGTGTAAAGATGGTAGTAAGTTTACTCAGGAGAAGCCGGCTGGTTCCGTGCACGAGGGGCCGGTTCAAAACAAGACCCAAGCGGGCCCCGGGTTGTCCCTGCGGCAGCCGCGTGTGTGTGTCGCATTAGCATCTGGGTTCACCAGAGGATGCCCGAGCTCCGAGCGGGCCCGACTCCGCCCTCCGGGTCCCCAGCTCCCTGAGGAGGCTGGTTTAGACCCAGCGCCTTGAAGTAACGCCTCTGAGTCCGCTGCTCCCCGCCAGGGACGCAGCGTCGTCGCGTGATGGCCGATCCCCACTTGGATGCCGCAGTTTCTCTGCGCCCCACCCTTCCCTCCTGCTGGCCACCGGGCCAATTTGGGGTGCGGGAGGGCATTCCTGGGGTGGAAAGACACCAACAAAAGCAGGAAGGAGAAGGGCCGGGGGGGTTGACAGAGATGAAGTCTGGCTGACGGAGGAGGCTGAGTGGCAGGTGACCCCAGCAGGCCTGGGGGGCTGGCTGAGAAGTGCCCTGGGGAGCCAGGTCTCAGCTGGAAGGCACGCAGGGGGGTGCAGGTGCAGGGCGGGCAAGACGGGGGCCAGTGGGGGGGGGACCAGAGAGGAAGGAGGAGGAGGGAGGGAGGGGGAGGGAGGGGGGAGGGGGAGGGGGGCCACAGACCCCGGGAGAGGACAGAATAGGGAGACAGGAGCCGTGTGCAGTCTGAATTGTGTGACACACCTTGGGCCCGGGCAGCGGCAGCAGGGCGTCCCCGTGACACTTGGGGCGCCCTCACCTCGCCTTGGTAGCACGTCCGGTGAAACGCCAGATGCTGATGGACAGCCTCCCGGGACCCCAGGATGGGAGAGAGCACGGAGCAGAGCCAGATAACAGAGGGACGCCTGAGGGGGAGGGAACCTTCTAGCACCCCAGGAGCCTTCATTATGATTAGAATTAGTTCCGGGTTGGGTTTTTTTTTTTTTTTTGAGCGCTTTCAGAGCTGTGTGTGTACGTGCCTGTGGTATGTGCCAGGGGTGGGGAGGTCAGGCACAGAATGTGGCATTTAGTCTGTACCTGTGACGTTTAGGGGCTGGACGGCTGGCGTTTCAGAAGCGCACGCGGGGAGAGGTCCGGCTGTCAGCGCCCGGCACCACAGGTGACTCCCTGGACCCCACCCCTGAGCTTCTCTTGTCTAACACGATGGTTGGGGGCAACGACCACGTGCTTGCTGCGGGCTGGCTGTGCTCAGACTCCGGGGGAACCAGCCCGCTCTGACCCCCCCCATTCTAATGGAGGAATCCCTTCCCCCACGTTTCACAGGAAAGGGAACAGAACCCCAGAGAGGTGAGCGAATTGCTCAAAGTCACACAGCTCGGTGATCCATGGCCAAGCTCTTCATGCTCTCGCCTTTTTCACTATGTGTCCCTTCTGGCCGGGGGTCGTGAGGACACATGAGGAAAAGCCGTCCAAGCTATGAAACCCTCCCATGAACCCGCACACCCTGGGAGCAGCTGAGGCGCCCTCCGGTAGCTGGCAGCTGAGTAAACCGTGTTCTGTCCAGAAGAGGGAATGATATTCAGCACTCAAAAGAAAAGAGCTACCAAGCCTGAAAAGATCTGAAAGAACCTTAAATGCATATTACTGAGGGACAAGAGGCCATCTGGAAAGGCTACAGATCTAGGATCCTGCCTCTGTGACCTTCTGGAAAAGGCACAATATGGAGATGGTAAAATGCCAGTGTTTGGCAAGGACGAGGGGGAGGGGGAATAAATGGGTACGGCAGGGAATTTGGGGGGGATGGTGAGGCCATTCTGCGCGATACCGCAATGATGGATGCACGTTTATCCGTGTGTCCAAACCCACAGAATGCCCACCGCCAAGAACGTCCCCTAATGCCAGCTGTGGACCTGCGTGTGCCTTAGGTGGGGCTGCTCCTGTGTGACAAAATCACACAGACTGGGCCGCTTAAACAAGCCTTTGTTTCTCACAGGTAAGTCCGAGTCTCGAGGCTGGTCAGTCCAAGATCAAGGGTAAGAGCAGATTGGTGTCTGGTGAGAGCCCGCTTCCAGGTTCACGGATGCCCATCTTCTTTCTGTGGCCTCCCACGGCGGCAGGGGTGAGGGAACTCTCTGGGGTCCCCTTCATAAGGGCACTGATCCCACCAAGAAGGCTCTGCTTTCATGACCTGCCCCCTCCCAAAGGCTCTACCTACTACAGCCATCACATTGGGCATCGGGCTTCAACATATGAATGGGGGGGAGCACAGACATTCAGTCTATGGGATGACGATGAGTCAGAGGTGATGGAGATGAAGGTGTTGCCATGCTGTGGAGTCCTGGGGGGGCCGTGGAGGGAGGTGGGGGGCTGTGTATGGGAACTCTCTGTACCTTTGGCCCAACTGTGCTGTGAACCTAAAATGGCTCTATCAGGTCTATTTTTATTTTTTTAATTTTATTTTTTTTATTTATTTCTAGGAGAGAGAGAGAGAGAGAGAGAGACAGCGTGAGCAGGGGAGGGCCGGAGAGAGAGTCACAGACTGAAACAGGCTCCAGGCTCTGAGCTGGCAGTCAGCACAGAGCCCGACGCGGGGCCCGAACCCACGAACCGCGAGATCATGACCTAAGCGAAAGTCGGACGCTTAACCGACTAAGCCACCCAGGCGCCCCATCAGGTCTATTTTTAAAAACTCTCAAGTCCAGGTGCAAATGTACATATATGATCGAGTCTGAAGCGTTGGGTCACAGGGCATTGGGGGCGCCTCTAATTTGGAAACATGGAATGAAGGGGCCAAAGGGAATGGCCTGGGGAGTGCCTCCTGGTTTCTAAATTAAAGTTTGTTCCAGTGGCTTGGTACTGTGTTGGGGGTGCTCCAGGCTGCGCTCCCAAGGGACTTGGGCTGTCGGTTAGCACCCTGGCCGCTGCTCTCAGCACAGCCGGTTAACAGTGAGTCCTGCACACACTTACACTGCGGGGGCCAGGTCAATGTGCATAAAATATCCTCCACAGCTCTACTGTGTTTTCCGGAAAGTGGGGAAAGACACCAACCTCCCGGAGATATTTTATTCTATAACCTTCTATATTTCATAACCTTTTGCGAGCCTGTAAGAGACACAGCCACCCCCATGCAGCGCCAGGACTGCTAATGTCCTTGTGTATTAACGCCACGAATACCACCTAGGAATGTAGAGGTGTGACCAGGGGCCGCAGATTTGTAATTAAGCACATCAGGGTCACATCACGAGCCGCCCCTTCCCAGCTGGGCGACTCTGGGCAAGGCTCCTTAACATCTCGAGTCTCTGTTCCCTCCCCTGCGGAATGTCACCGTCGCTGCCCACAGGTGTGGTGAGGACCGTATTCAGGTGTGTCTTCTAAGGCCCTTAGCCTGGAGCCTGGCACGTTCGTCGCAGCGTTTGCTACTGTCATCAATTCTGTTCTATCTGATGAAGGCAAAGGGCATAGGATCCGTTGTGTCGAGCTTGAGGAAGCCCCCAGAACGCCCAGACCTCATTTCCCCTGCTGGAAGCGGAGACTGAAATGCCTTGTCTATTTGGCCTGCGTGGCCACGATCTGATGAAATACTGGGTATAGAAAAGTGGCTGCCACTTCTTGCCAGCTTGTGATGCAGGAGGCTCACTGTTAAGGTTGTGCAATTACTCAGGAGGTGGTTACTGACGACCTGGCTTGTTACGGCCTCGTTTCGGGAAGGGTCACCTTCCTAGAGCGGGAACACCCCCCCCCCCCCCCCGCCATTGGACCCTCCTTATCTCTCCCTGTGGAGTGGGGCCCAGAGAGGGCTCGGACCTGGCCGTCTGTGCAGCCACTTCCTGGCCCTTAGACTGACACACCCTACATGGCGAGCAAAGGCAGGCGGCCACGTTCTTTCAGTCTCTAGGAGATCCAGAGGCCACGGTAAAATCAAGGGGTGTTTATCAAGGTGTGGCCCTGGGGGGCACATAGGTTTCACCCAGCGGCCGGGCTGGGCCTGATCCCACGCGCAGCGAATCCCACTCCAGCAACCTGATATCTTAAGATGTCCTCTGTATGTCCTCGGAGAAGGGGAATCATATCCTGGAGGGGCCATCAAGGCCGGCTTCTCGGAGGAGGCGGCCTCTGGGGGAACAGAAAAGAAGGTGAGGTGTGTTGGAACTGGCAGTGGGCTCTGAGGGGCCGGGGTCTTCTTCACCTCGGCAGCCCCAGCGCCCTGCAAGCGCCGGCGGGAACAGGCGCTCCACGCGGACTTGCTCCAAGAACAAATGACAGCCCAGGCACCAAGCCAGGCACTCTGCGCACGTCCCTCCACCCCGCCCGCGGAGACGCACGCGCATGCGCACCCCATGCCCCTCGCAACGGACCTCCGCGGCGACGCCACCGCCCCCTTGCGGTCCGTGCGCAGGCGCGGGAGAGTGCGCGAGCGGGTGACGTCACTCCGCGCCGACTCCGCCTGTGGAGGCGTCGCTCGCCGGCCGCGTCGTCATGGAGCCGAGGACCGGTGAGGGGACCGCTGGAGACGCGGGCGCGGAGCCACCAGAGGGGCAGGAGTGGGGGCGAGTGAGGGGCCGCCGGGGGGGGGGGGGCGGAGGGGCGAGGGCGGGCTGGTGAAGGGCTGGGCGGGGGCCACCGTCCGGGCGGGTCACCCGCTGTCCGGGTGGGGAGTGGGGAGTGGGTGACAGGCCACCGGAGAGGCGGGCGGGGACGGAGGGCCTGGGCCGGGGACCGCCGGGGAGACGAGGGGACGCGGAGGGGTCCGAGCGGGCTTGGGGGTCCAGGCGGCGGCGGTCTCGGACCTGGTACCCGACGCCGCCGGCGGAGTAAGACAGCGGGGAGAAGAGAGAGGGCTACTTGCTGTGCACATGGCGGTGTCGGTGGGCGACACCTGTGAGACCTGCAGTCGCCTCCCTGGAAACCAGGTGAACTTGGTGGGCGGGGGCAGGGCTGGAAAGCACCGTAACTTCAGCGCTGGTTCGCAGCGTCTTCCTAGGGGCGCCCGGGTCGGGGGTGCTCAGTAGACTCTTGATTTCGGCTCAGGTCTTGATCTCACAGTTCATGGGTTCAAGCCTCGCTCTTCGCGCGACAGCACGGAACCTGCTTGGGATTCTCTCTCTTCCTCCCTCCACCCCCCTAAATAAACTTTAAAAAAAATCACCGCCCTCTTAAATGCCTCCCGAGGTGTCGCTGTGCCAGGCCCTGCCCAGGCGCTGGGGACACTTGCTTCACTGCCCCTGGGCTGCAGGAGGTCACTCTAGAGTGGGAGAGCTTTGGCGATGGCTGCGGGGGTGCGGGGCCCAGATAACACCCAGTGCTGAGGCCCAGGGAGCAGGGTCTGGGGATAAATACGCCCCTGCGTTTACTGGGTGCGCAGTTTGTGAGCAGCCACGTCACCAGGTGCTGGTAGTCACCAGGAGCGAGCTCAGAGCCACAGGTCGGGGATGAGTGGGCCCCTAGCTGACCCGACACGACCCACGACCCGCTGAGGGAACTGAAAAGGCCATTATGGAACGGGGTGTCGTTCATTCCCCTGCTTATTCCCCACATGTGTGTAACTCTCCGCAGGCAGGGCCCTCTGCCCCTCGAGTCTGCCCGCTCACTGGGGTTTCTAAATGGGGGTCACTCCAGTGTTTGTGGTCAATGGTCCCTGCAGAGCAGGGGTCACAGCTTCTTATATTTCGTGTGTCCCAGTGCAGTGCTGGGGACGCTGTAGCACCTGCGGGCTGTTCGTGAAGGTGGAAAGTGGTGGGGATCTTAGAGTTGTGCCAGTGAAGCCGTGTTTGAGGAAGCCAGACGGGGGGGTGCTCTGAGTTCCTGCAGGAGGGACTTCTGCCTGTGACTGGGCCCTCAAATACTCCCGGGCGGTGTGGCGTGTCCCCGAAGGGCGAGGAGGCCTGAGAGGCACAGAAGTGGACAGGTGTGGGGACCGGGGAGCCACAGTGCTTGAGCCACGTTTTGAATCCAAAGCGAGGAACGGGGGGGAATGAGGCTGAGGTGGGCAAGGCTTTGCAGGCAAGAGCTCCTTGTGACCCCGTGACAGAGAGGTCCCAAGACACTGGAGCAGAATGGAAGGGCAGGGGGTCTTCCTGGAGGTGGTGCTGAAGCTGAGCCCTGAAGAGTGAGGGTCTGTCGAGGGGACAGAGCTGAGAAGACCTGCAGGCGGAGCTCCCAGCAGGGGAGAAAAGCCAAGTGCTGGAAACTGTGCGGCCCGACCCCGGGTCCCAGGCGCCCCCCCAGCCGCAGCGCTGATGCCTGCAGAGGCCTAGAGGCACAGCTCGGGTCAGGAGTCCCCAGCGGTGTCTGCCCTGGGCCCCCAGAGGTTCTGGGACTGGGCCGGATGCCACGCTGAGAGCATCAAGGCCTAGCTAGGGTGGGTAGGCAGTGGGCCCTTGCACCTTAGAACTACGCAGGGCGGGTAGCAGACCGGGGTGAAATGGGCAAAGTGCACGTCAGTACCTGAAGACTGGAGACCAGCCGTTGCCTGGGTAAGTTGTGGCCTGTCCCCAGAGCGGAGCCCCTGAGCCGACACGGCCCGCGTAAGGACAGTGGTGCTCTCGGACGGTGCCTGCGCTCGCTGCAGAGTCCCGCCATGGCCCAGCATGCAGGCCAGGGGTCTGTGCAGGGAGCCGCCTCAGGAAAAGCTGTGACCGGAAGCGTCTGCTGTGTGGGGCCAGAGGTCCCCTGGGAAGAATCCAGGAGGAAAAAGAAGTCCAGTTGTGAAAAACAAACTGAGAGTGTAACTGATTCACGTGATGCAAAGCCATACGATTCAGAACTGTCTGTGGCGAGAGACCAGCTGCCAACCCGGCCCACCACCCGTCCAGGCCACTCCCAGCTCTCGCCTCCCAGGCTGCTCCCTTGGGTCTCTTCTCAATAGCCTGCGTTCCTTCAGGGGAGACCGAGGACCCGTGAGGTTATCCCTGCCCCTCCTTCCTACCCAGGTGATGAGAGGTGTCCCAGCCACACACAGGACATGTGGCACCTCCATCAGCTGTGAGGGACACCATCTCAGTTCTCTGAAAAGAAGAGGTCAGCTGTCACCGCCAGCTGCAGAGACGAACGTTGCCCGAGCACCCCGCATGTGTCCCTGCGGCGACTGTCAGGTGGCACAGGGAGAAAGCGCCCCCCTTCATTGGCAGTTAGGGCACAGTGGTGTTGGGGGCATACCAGCGAATGAGGTGACCTCACTGGGAGTCCCCTGCCTCGTGATTCCCAGTGCTGGCCGCGTGACAAACTGTTAGGAAAACAGACTGATGGGGCGCCTGGGGGGCTCAGTGGGGTTGAGCGTCCGACGTCAGCTCAGGTCATGATCTCACGGTCTGTGCTGACAGCTCGGAGCCTGGAGCTGCTTCAGATTCTCTCTCCCTCTCTCTCTGCCCCTCCCCCTGCTCACTCTCTGTCTCTCTCTCAAAAATAAATAAACATTAAAAAATGACTTGAAACAAACTTCTGAAAAAGTGTGAGGATATCCTTTTGGACCAAAAATGAAAATTAAGTCAGTATTTCAAATACGTCTATGCAAAGGTGCTGGCGTTATGTCTTCCTGCCTAACTGGAAACTGCTCCGCACGGTTCTGCACTCTACAGAGCACGTGGTTAACGCAAATGTCATCAACATGCTCCAATCAAATAGGAATCATTTGTTGCCAAGAACGCACTTCCAAAGTTGCATATAGAATAAGAAATTACTGCGCTAATGAAGGGAACGGTAACCCAAAATAATAGGCTTACAAAGCAGTTAGGTTTAAGACAAGCTTCCTGGATGTATAGCCCGAGCGCACTAGTCACAGCCCCGGCAAAGCTGGATGGACCGAGGATGCAGTGCCTTCACCCAACGGCACTGGGCACTGGGCGCATTTCCAAGCGAAGACAGAGGAGAGCTCGGCTACCTGGCTTGGATTGCATTTTGTTTCCTGCTGCCGCGGCTCAGTGGGGCCAGATTAAGTACCTGGGTGGTCTTGAGTTTACTCTGTTTTTGGACGTTAGCAATGTGTTGTGACTTTATGACTAACCCTGATTTTTTGCTGTAGAGACGAGAAGCACTGGGTTGGTCTGGCCTGAGCGAGCTGAGGGTGTGGCTGGAGGAGCCCCCCCGCCCCCGCTGCCCCAAGCCATCCCGGGCCGCCCCCGGCCACCCCTGCGCGGGGCTCCCTTCTGCCACGCTAACCCGTCCCACCCTCTGTCGCCATAGGTATTTCCAAGCAGGACATTCGAGAGCAGATCTGGGACTACATGGAATCCCAAAATCTAGCGGATTTCCCTCGGCCTGTTCATCACAGGATTCCCAACTTCAAGGTACTGAAGCGCTCCTGGAGCATCCAGAAGGGGAACAGACTATTCCTGAGTGAGCGAGTTAGCCATGCATTTGCTGCCCCACTTCCCACGCCGGGTGGGCAGTGACACTGCGTTGCTGGCCTGGCCTCTGTGGTTGGGGACACGCTCATCCGAGTCACCTAGCCTTCACTTGCATAGACGCTGACCCTCCTGTGCAGGGTTGGCGGTTGGTGGTGTCGTGTCCCGAGCTGATGCCACAGCGCCCTGTCACCTCCCGACATGGAGTAAGACGCTTGTCCTGTGGCCACAAGCATGTCATTGTGGTGCCTTTCCACACGTGGCTCCTTTTCTTTTTTAATGTTTTTTTTTTTTGAGACAGAGACAGAGCGTGAGCAGGAGAGGGTCAGAGAGAGAGGGAGACACAGAATCCGAAACAGGCTCCAGGCTCTGACCTGTCAGCACAGAGCCTGACGTGGGAGTTGAACCCACTAACTGTGAGATCATTACCTGAGCCGAAGTCAGCTGCCCAACTGACTGAGCCACCCAGGCGCCCTTACACGTGGCTCCTTAAGACCAGCAGGGAGTAGTGCACGTGGAGAAGGGAGCCCCAGCCAGTTTCTCTGCACAGGAAGGCCTCAGACGTCCCTGACGACGCCAGGCCTCAGTTTCCCCGCTGTTCAGAACAGAAGATGATCAGAGATGTCTTCCCAGGACGCGAGTGTGCTTCAGCGAGCAAACATGCCAGCTCAGGATTCTGGCACGTTTTCCACAAGGAAAACAAAGCACTTTCGGGAAATACCTGGATTGCCGTGTCAGCCCAAAGCAGGTGTGGCGTTTCACTGCTGTCTTCCCCCATTTTGGCTGGACTTAGTGTCCTGGCTCCTTGGAAACAAGCCCCTGTCCCTCAGAAAACCTGTGCTTACTGTATGATTTCTGTTGCTATTTTGTTTTGTTTTAGTGCTTGTTTTCGCAGGGAGAGAAATTTATATCAAGTACAGGAAAAAGAGAAAGGTGCACAGATTCAGTAAAAAATGCTTAAAGAGGAAGCACATTGGAGAGGTTCCGGGTTGGTGGTAATCCGTTCTCTCTTGGTGTAGGCGGTAGTTAACACACGCGTGCTCCTTTTGTGAAAATTCATCAAGGTACACACGATTTCTATACCTTTTTGGAATGTATATTTTAAGTTAAAAATAAACTGGGGCTGGGGTGCCAGGGTGGCTCAGTCGGTTAAGCATCTGGCTTTTGATTTCTGCTCAGGTCATGATCTCACAGTTCGTGGGATCGAGTCCCACATTGGCTCTGCGCTGACAGTGTGGAGCCTGCTTGGGATTCTCCCTCTCTCTCTGCCCCTCCACTGTGTGCTCACGCCCTCTCTTTCTCTCTGTCTTTGAAAATAAACATTAAAAAATAAATAGACAAATTACCCTGACTGCTCTCCCAGACTTTTCTTTGGGTGACTCCTAGATGTTGTCCGAGAATTAGCCGCTCCCCTGTCTGGGTGAAATGCCGGAGCAGTCCGCTCACGCGTGCGCTGGGCCCGGGGTCCTGCCGCCCGGCCAGGGCGCTTCCCGAGCTGCTGAGCACCCCCGCGCTTGCAGGCCTTCAACATGGCCAGAACCAGTAAACCCAGGCCTGACGCTCCCCAGACAAATGCTCGCTGCTTCGTCCTTGACGTGACTGCAACCCTGTCTGTTTGCCTCAATAGGGCTCTTACCTGGCTTGCCAAAACATCAGAGACCTAGACGTTTTTGCCAGGACACGGGAAGTGAAAGTGGGCCCTGACAAGTCGCTGGAAGGCGTCCGGCTGCTGGCGTTGCAGGTAAATCCCGTTTTCCTGAGCCAGAGCCCCGGCTGCTGACGAAAGGGGTGCTCCGGGCGCCCGGCAAATGTGTGCAAAAGCCTCTGTTGAGGAAGATGGGGCTTCTGACTCCCTCAGAAGTTGGCGCAGGACGCCCTTGGGAGTTTTATTTGAGGACAGTCCAAGTGTCTTCCGTTTGTCTGTCAGAAGTCACGAGTGTTCCTAATTCAGAGGTCAGAGGCGTTCAAAATGGTCACCTGGAGCATTCCTAAATTGGATGTGCTTCATCAGAAGAGAAAGACTATTTCCTCCTGCTACTTTCATCTTCCAATTCTTTGACCTTTTTGATGAGCCGTGATGAGGACCCTGACGGTGTTGCCCGAATATATAAATTAGAACAGCGTTGCTGTGAATCTAGTAGCTTCATAAGTACAAACAGGAAATGCATGAACGTGAGTGCTCGCAGCTCCCGTGCAGCTGTAGACCCGAGACTAGCGTGTAAGTTAAATACAGACGGAGCCGTGAGAGCAGGAGGGCACGGGCAACAGCGCCGATCCCCCGTGGCGGCTGCTGTGCTGAGACAAAGCGCCGCTGAGGACGGGACTGGGGGCCCGGAACTCCCGGCGCGGCCGCGCCCCGCGTGGCAGGCCAGCGTCCCGGGGGCGCCCTGCAGCCTGGGGGTGAGGCGAGCACCCGAAGGTGACCCTGTGGGGGCCGGGGGTGGGGGGGTGCAGGGCTTCTGCTCTGGCTCCTTCAGGAGTCGCATGTAGGGAACCCCCGTGTTAGCTGGTTGTGGTTCAGCCCCAGGACGGGCTCCCATTTAGGCTTTTCTGCTGGAAGCGTTCTGTCTTCCAGCCTGTTTCCCGGGCAGTGTAATGAACCGTGTAATGAACGAGAGGCAATGAATGAATTATCGCAGCCGCAGAGAAGGGCCCGCGGTGAGTGGGCCCCACGTGTGAGGGCACAGCTCTCTCTAAACCCTTCCCTGCATCACCTCGGTTAGGCCTACCAGCTACCCTGCGGGGGCGATCCCTGCCCCTCGTGACACAGAGCGGTCGAGTGACTTGGCCACGTCCCATGTCGGTAGCGGTGGAGCGGGGATCGCGACCCGCACCGTGACTCCAGGGCCAGCTCTGTGCGCGTGCCCTCAGCACTGAGTCAGAACCTTGGGGATGTTGGAGACTGGTCACGGCGTCCTGCGGGAGGGCAGCCGGGTGGGGGGGGCGTCCTGCGGGAGGGCAGCCGGCAGAGGGTCCTGCGGGAGGGCAGCCGGGCGGGGGGGGTCCTGCGGGAGGGCAGCGGGGTGGGTGGGGGTAGGGGGGTGGCTGTCCTGCGGGAGGGCAGCCGGGCGGCCGGTGGAGGAGCAGTGTCCTCCGTGTCTCCATTCCTTCCTGGGAGAGAAATAGTCAAGTTCGAGAACCTGCTGCACCCCAGGCTCATGGGCACAGGGATTTGGTTGTGAAACAGACACAGACACATGTGCTTCCTGTGCTCGGGCTGCTGGCTCCTCGATGTTGCTGGAGACTCCGTGGGTTAGGAATCACCCAGGAAGCAGGTAAACCTGCAGGCTTTGCGACGCCTCCTGAGTGTAGGCAGGGACGGTGGTGCGGTGCCCACGGCCTGTGCCTGGGGACACGGCGGCCTGTGGCTTGGGGATACACAGCTCCCCAGGCTCCGCCCCGGACCTTCAGGCAGTTTCTAGAGTCTCTTTTTAACAAGGACCCTGTTGGTGCCTGGAGAGCCACCAGCCAGGCCTGCACTTGTCACAGACAAACATACCCCACTCCCGCCGCATGTTGGCACCACCAGAGGGAGCTTTGAAAACTGCCCGTTGCCGATGTCGGGGACTCTGAGTGGCTCTGGGCCTTGGTTAAGTCTCTGAGCTCCCCAGGTGATTCTAAAGTGGAACTAGGGCTGAGAGCCACTGGGCTGGTGAGGGAGAAGCTTCCAGAAGAGAGGGAGAAGCCAGAATGATACGTAGTACACCAGCGTCTCCAGACTGCAGATGAACCCAGACCTGTTTCACACTTGAAAGGAAAAGAGCATGTGGTGACAACTTGTGTTGAAATGTTTCCTTGGCCACGGCTTTAAGTAGGCCAGCCGCGATTTTATAGGTCTTGTGTCGGGCTTAGGCTGTCATCTCCTGCACAAAAACTAAAATATACTCTTTTTACACCAAAGATTTTATAAATTTTACAGTTGACTCATGGGCTGCCCCTGTGTAATCTTCAGGGATGCTTGTGGCAGTGGTTCTGGAACTTTCCTGGATGTCAGAATCACCTGTGGAACCCCCGCCCCCCGCCACCCCGAGCTTCTGGTCGTTTCTCACAGGCGTCCAGGGGCTGCTGCCGCTGCCGCCCAGGGTCACACTTGGAGAACCAAGTCGTCTGGGAGCTAAATCAAAGGGGGCTGGGGACTCAGGTCAGCACACGTGCCACTTGTGATGGGCACTGACGTGGGAGGCTGCCGTTGGCGGGCAGAAGGCCACGGCCATGCAGGGCAGGCACCCAGCGGCAGCACTGTGGCCGCGAGGTGCATAGCGCTGCGCTGGGAGGCCACAGGGAGGGCCTGGTTGGACTCCTTGGGCTGCTGGGCCGCTTTGCACTGTCATTCCTTAGCCTTTAGCGATTCTGAGCGGCAAGGAGAGTAGAATTCATGAGTTTGACGACACGCTGGGTGGGCTAGCGGCCCTGAGTAGTTCTTTGTACTTAATGAGGTGTGCAAAGAAGCCGTTCCCCAGAAGTGCCTGGGAAGGTAACTTGCATCTGCACTGAGATGTTAGCGATGCACACAGGGGAGTTCCTGGGTTTAGTTTTATAATTCACTGTTTGTCTTTCTTTTCAAAGAGCAAAAAAACGTTGTTGGTGCCAACACCACGGCTGAGAACGGGGTTATTTAATAAGATCACACCACCCCCCGGGGCAACGAAGGACATCCTGAGAAAATGCGCCACCTCTCAGGTAAGTGCGGGCACGGCAGCGCTGCTCTCGGAGACACAGGGCCCCACAGAACTGAACGTGTCTCTCCCGAAGCCAGATGAGCAGAGTACAGGAGCCACATGGCAAAACTGTGGGTCCACGCGCTGCAGGTTTGTAGATCGTGTTTCCTGTTACAGATGAAGGGAAAACGAGTTCCCTGGTCCTCTGGCTCCTCCGTGTTAACTGTGCCACCGTCCGGGCTGCCTAGCACTTTCTGAAGTGCCACGGAGCAGCTGGGAGCTGGGAGGCATTTCCAGAACCCAGCTGCAAGTTGCCTCGGCAGCTCTGAATGACGGCGTTAGTAACGCAGGGGCGGGCTCTTCCCGAGTGTCTCACAATGTGGTCAAACCGAACCGTGAAACTGCCATCCTAGGGGCCCCGTAATCGGATTTGTCTTGTATTTAGAGACAAAGAAGTAGAATTTGGTGACCTTTTTCAGAGTCCTAGAACAGACTCCAGCCTGTTAGGTTCCTAATCTATTGGGAATAAAAAATAGGGCATCAAGAGATTCCTTTTCAATTTTATTTGTTTATGTTTTCCATTGCATCATTTTAATATAAGCAAGATGATCACGTGTCCAAGTATTGCTGGTCAAGTGTGAGTTGTACAATAAATGGCAGAGAATTCATCCCGTCAGTGGTTTGGCTGGAAGCTGTGTATCGGTGGCTCTGTGACACGGGCCGTGTAAGTGCAGGCCGCACGGAGGAGCCCCCTACACGGATTCCCTCCTCCCTGCTCATCTGTACCCACATGTATAATTAAGATACTCCTTTTTAAACAGGATTTTCCATTTAAGTCTGTTGTTTAAAAATTGAATGTTTATGGTCACTTACTGATACCTTTATTCCAAGAATAGAATTTGGTGTGGCTTAAAAACCCTGTGTCGTAGAGCACAGTAAGAAAACATGTGTAGGAAAAGTGCAAAGGGAAAATCAGAAAAACGAGAGCTGGCTGTGCTTCTGCTTAGTGTTCAGAAGTGCACCCTGGGCGATGGTCTGCGGCTGGCAGACCCGGGAGCCGGCGGGGGTGTGACAAATGGCATGGCAGTCGGAGATTTGGGACTGTAAGCGCGGCTCCCGTCCTGGGCTGAGGCCGGGTCCCATGGCCGGTCCCTCACACACGCTCCTGGAAGTGTGACCCAGGGGCTCTGTGCCTGAGCTTCAGTAGGGTCTGAACAGCTGGGTTCGGTCTCTGTTACCACATGAGGCACCTGAACCTGAGGAGGAGGTTTTCCTTCTCTTCGCGGCCCAGGGAAAATGCCAGCGTGGAGGGTCATGACACACTCATTATCCGTGCTGCCAGAGCTTAGTGGCAGAAACACTGCCACCACGTGGGTCGTCTCTAGGACACTCCGATGAGCGCTTACTTTGTGGCAGACGACTCTGAATTTGTCCCTTACGGCCTCTGCCACCACCCCATCCACCCGTGTGGTATCGGGGCCTTTGTGCCTATTCTCTGACTCGGGATCTTCCAGGGAGCACCTCTGTGGGCAGACAGAAAGGTTTGTCAGCTGAATTTTCATTGAATCAAATGAGACTGTGGAGAGTCAGGGAAGCTCCTGGCTGCTGACACGGTGTTTGGCCTGAGAGAGCGGCCGGAGCCGCCCGAGGGGTGGGGGGCAGCCTCTCAGCCGCTGCGGCAGCTGTGTGCTCACCACGGCTGCCACACACCGAGCCCGCTGAAACAGGGCCGAGGATGTGGGCCATGGGTGTGAGATGGCAGCCGCCACGGCCATTGTGACGTTAGGATAAGCAGGTCTTTGCGCAGCAGGGACACAGCAGGCTGGGAGGCCCCCAGGCCACCCCCGTGCTGATCCCGTGGGTGACTTGTCACGTACTTTAGGCAGGACACGGTCCCACGTGCTGTGAGCCTCCCCTGCTGCGCCCGGGTCTGTACAAGGTCCTCGTCTGGTTCCTAGACTGATCTGTGCCCCTTCACATCTGAGACTCATGGCCGAATCGGCCGCCCTGTTCTTTAAATACAGGCCTTCGTTAGTATAAACGTGTGTACTGTAGGTGGGTTTTGGTTGAAGGAGTAATATTTCAGAAGTGAACGTGGTGTACGTGGCGCCCCCAGTACTCACACTTGATGGTCTGCCCCACACGTTTACCGGCCACATCTTGTGCGCTAATCGCGTCACCTCCACCATCTTCCGTCCCGGCACCAGCCCGATGAGGCAGCGCCTCTGCCTCACCGATGGACACTGAAGGTCAGAGAGCTTCCTCCTGCAGAGGCCACAGGGCGCACAGGGGCATGGACCCAGTTCTGTGTGACTCCCACCCCTGTCCTGACTACTGTGCTCCTGTGATTGCTTGGGAAGATGAAATTAACACCGTACTTGCTTGTGCTGTCACTTCCAAAGTGGCATCTTCCCTGGGGAGGAGATTGTGGGAAATTATCTATCCTAAACGCCGCTTCCACCGCACGGCATGCCTGTTGTAGGGCCCGAGTTCGCCTCCTGCGAGCTCCTGGCCCCTGAGCTGTGGGGGGGTGCCGCTCGCTGCCCGGGAAGCACAAGGCCCACGTGTCTGTTCGCAGGGCGTGCGGAACTATAGCACTCCCGTGGGCTTGGACTCCAGGGTCCTGGTGGACTTGGTGGTGGTGGGCTCCGTCGCTGTTTCTGAAAAAGGTAAGATTAAAGTTACACCGTGACCTGCAGCTTGACGTTCTGTTGTCTGTTCGTCCTCTAGACCCTGACGGTGAGGGGTTTCGGTTTCTGGACACGTTCCTGTCCACTGAGAAACCACTGTCCCTCTCATTCATTTTGAAGGATTAACTCAGTCCCTCACACTCAATACCTTTCCAGTGTTTTCATTTTTCTTAGCAGGAAAAATAAAGTGACATCATCTCTGCTCAGGTGGTGAGAGAGATTTCCTCTGTTCCTAAGCTACCGGGAGCCGGAGCCGGATTTGCGTGTGGTGCGCCAGCAGATGGCTGGTTTGAAGGCCCTCCGGAGGATGGGAGACCACAGGGCCCTAAACCTTGTTTCCGTTAGGGAGCAGCGGCCTCTGGGCAACGCCAGGTTCCCCAGCCTGCCCGGGAGGCCTGGTGCTTTGCCATGCAGGCAGGTGGGGGCGGGGGCTCGCTGCCGTCTGTCCCCTGCCAAGCCGCCCTCGTCCCGTGAGCCTCTCCCTCCTCCGCTGCCCCCTCCCCCAGGCCCGGCTCGATGCTCTTCGAAGACGATCTGCTTTTACTGCGACGGGGCCGGTGGGGTCCAGGTGCGGTCAGCCTATGACAGGCTTGTTCCCACACCGTGTGGTTTGGGCCCCTGCTGGGAAAACACCCCTCTCCTCCTTCCCCTGCGAGAGGAAAAGAGACTGTTTTAAGACGCTCATCCTTAAAAATCCTCCTCTGGAAGTCAGCCAAAGCCAAGTTCTTCCTTCAGTAGGGGCTCCCAGCACGTAGTTGGTAAGAGGTGCCCCGAGTCCTTCATTCTGAACCCCGAGCATCGTGTTGTTAAATGGTGGCCTTTCATATCTTCACCTGGAATTTACGGCCTCATCCCTCCTCACTCTGCCTTAGAAGTTGAGACGCTGTAGTGCTTCGCTCTTTTGCTTTCTCTGTATCCCCAGTTATGCAATCTGTCTGTGTCATCGGGGATGGGGCCCCATGGGCACACGTCTCCTGGGTGCCTGCGTGGGCCCCGTGTCAGGCCAGCGCTGCGTGGTCTCAGCCTTGGACCACAGCATGTGGGAAGCACAGACACCGCGGCTGAACTGTGGTATGATGTGCTCGGTGCTGGACACAGAGGTGGGCGCTGACATCGGGGGCGGTCGAAAGAGCAACTCTCGGGCTGCGAGCAGGGCATCAGCAGGGCGGGGCCCGGGGCAGTGTGTTCACGCAGCTCGGCCCCCGAGTAGGTTGGGGTTGGCTTCCCAGAGGCCGTGAGGCCCGAGGACAGGCTGTGCCCTTGGCAGTGGGAAATTAGCAAGGAGGTCTTCGTTCCAAAGACGATCAGGCACTTTCCAGAGTGTCACCCATGTTCTTCCCAGGCATCTGCCGTCTCAGTTCCTCTTGTTGATGCAGATGCCTGTGAGTCCCCCCGTGTCCTGTGCTCTGTGTGGGTCGTTCGTCCTGACTGTTCTCCCAGAAGGATAGCACGTCTGGCACTTTGTGCCCTGCCAGGTGATGGCCGTCTATGCAGACTGATGGGCACGTGACTTGTCACCAGGGTTTGGTTTGGCTTTTCCCTTACAGATGACACTAAAGGGAGCTGGATTCCTGGGGTTGAGTTTGTGGTACCTTCCAGGGCTTTACATGGGAAAATCCTAGCAAATGAATTGCTGAGGCAAAGGGTGGACTTTAAACCCTGGTGGCTGTAGCCAGATCATCCATCCACCAGAAGGGCGCCCACCTCACACCCTGTCACTGTGCCCCTCGCCTCGCTCCCTACTCGCCTGTAATAGCTAGAATCACAAGACTAATTTTTACCAATCTCAGAGTGAGCGGTGGTACTTCGACCACCGTTCGATTTGCTTTTAATGGTGAGTGAAGGTGATCGTTTCTTATATTTGCTGCTCGCCTGCCTGTGTCTGCAGACTGTTCACATCCTTTGCTATTTCTCCACTGGATTGTCTTTCCCTTGTTTATTTGCATGCATGGTTGGAGGTTGGAAATTGTAGAAGCAGCACGAGATCAGAATCTTAGACGCATGAGCAGAGATGCTCTTTGTGACAATACTGGTGTTACACAGAAGTCAGAGTTTCTGCAACGTCACGGGCTTCCTAACAGCAGAATGTCGGTCCTCCTGGGAGCCAGGAGGCAGTTTAATGTTCCTGCGTGCTCCGTGCCTCCCTGCCGTGTCCTGCCTGCTGAGTAGCTTCTCATCCAGCTTCGGCTCCGCCTTCTGCTCACCCCACCTTGGGGTGTGCGGTTTGGGACCAGGGCTGCCAGCCCTGCCCTCCCGTGGGGACTGTGGGGCTTTTCAGAGGACAGAGTGATACCGTCTTAAATCACGTGTCCCTCATTTTAGTTTTTATTTCTTTTCCAAGAGAAACTGCTTAAAAAGATTTTGTTTTTAGTAAAAATTTGTTCTTAGTCTTTTAAAAACTGCTCCTTCATTACTTCTAAACGTGAGCTCTGCTCACACAACACAAGGCTCCCTTTCCTCTTGTGACACGTCTGACCACTGTGTGTGTGCAGTGTCACCTTCCCGGAACCCCCCGTTGGGGCCGCCTGTGGGCTCGCCATGGCAGCCTCTGAGGAGGGGCCAGGGATGTCGAGCCCAAGTTTCGGCTTCCACTGTGACCTGATGACACACGTACTCCCGTGATAATGGTGCTCTGCGTGTCTCCTAGGCTGGAGAATTGGGAAAGGAGAAGGTTATGCTGACCTGGAATACGCCATGATGGTGTCGATGGGAGCGGTCACCCCGGGGACCCCGGTGGTCACCATTGTCCACGACTGCCAGGTGCTGCCCCTGAACACGCCCAGCAGAGCCATTGCCATACCCGAGAGGGGGCGGGAGGGGAGGAGGGGACAGACAGTGGTCCTGCCTTCACTCCACGGCTCTTGTGAGCGCTGGAGACCAGCGAGGCCACCTGTTTGGTGACATGACCGTGGGGCCTGCTCCCTCTGGGCCTGGCACCGGCTTCCGTGCGTGCAGTGAGCACGGAGCTGTGGGCCCCGCCGGCGCCCTCACCCTCTTCTGTTTGACCAGGTCATCGACATACCCGAAGCATTGCTCGAGGACCACGATCTCACCGTGGACTACATCGTCACTCCAACGAGAGTCGTTGCCACGGGGTGTGAGCGCCCAAAGCCAGCGGGGATCTTGTGGTCCAAGGTGGGTCCCGTGGCCGCCAATGGCCTGTAGCTCGGAGGCAACCCCTCTTGTGTGGCATCCTTTGGTGTGGCAGCTGGCTCCGGGCCGTTGCAGTTACCCGGGAGTTTTGAACGGCTGAGCTCCTGGATCAGGACAAGCGGGCAGGCTCCAGGTCTCCTGCAGCGGGGTTACACCGGCCGGCCGTGGCAGGAAGAGCCGTGTGCCACCATCCCGGCCATGGTGTCCTGCCTCGTCAGCTTTCCCGTTGGGAGTCCAAATTGTCTCGTGTGACCTGGGTCTCCAGGCAGCACCCGTGGCCCTCATAGGCTGATGCCTCGGTGACTTTTCACTGCAGAACTGGTGTGATGCCCGGTGCGACAGTGTGCAGCAGGGGTCGGCCCCAAGGGGAGCCTGCGGGTTAGGGGCCCGCCTGCTGGCGCGCAGCCGGAACTCCTGAGGAGATGGGGGCCACTTGCTGGGTTTGGATCGAAGCCTTTGCTCCACATCTTCTGCCGCTAAACCTGAGCTGTCCGGGGTTGGAAGGCAGCGTCCCCTCGGGCCTCCACCTCCAAGCTTGACACCGAATGAAACGCCACACAGGCCAGTGGGCCTTTCCCACAGATGCCGCGCCGGGGCCTGTGCTCCTTCTGGGTTAGCCCTGATGAGAGCAGAGAGGAGGAGCGGGCGTGGCCTGGAAGTGGGCCCGTGGGTCTCCCTCCGAGTGCGTGCTGAGTGCCGTGGGGTAGCCAGCAGCGCCCTTAGTGAGTATTAAAATGTCCGTCAGTGTCTTTCCTGAGAACTTGATTCGGTTCCACCGCTTCTCTCTAAGCAGAGGCTGATGCGCAGGTCGCAGAGGCGAAGTGGCCTCTGCTCACAGCCGAGAACGTGAAGCTGGGGAGGCTGCCTGCAGCCCATGTTAGGGAGATTCTGGGCGGCCTCTCCAGAAGAAGAAGGATGTGCTGCTTTGGGGAATAGCCATGGTCACATTCTGATTTTAACAGGGAAAATAGAAAAATATCAACAGATGATGTTATTGGTGATGTTGTGTGATGACAGCTCCTCTTATGTAAAAGGAAAGCGGTGAACCAGATTCCAAAGAGCCACACTGTGTGTATAGGGCGTGGGACCTGACTGTTTCAGCCCCTTCTGGAAGATTGAATTACTAATGAGGCCTGAGCAAGAACTTCAAACTTTTATTTTTTATTTTTATTATTATTTTTTTTAAGTAGGCTCCACACCCAGTGTGGGGCTTGAACTCACAGTCCCAAAGTCAAGAGTCATGTGCTGTACCGACTAAGCCACCTGGGTGCCCCAAGAATTGCAAACTTTTACCTACTTATCTGTCTACCTATTGAATTAACGTTTGTTTATTTTGAGACAGAGAAAAAAAGGATATGCATGAGCGGGGTGGGGGGGAGGCGACAGAGAGAGGGAGAGAGAGAATCCCAAGCAGGCTCCGTGCTGTCAGCACAGAGCCCAACATGGGGCTCAAACTCACAAACCGTGAGACCATGACCTGAGCCGAGATGAAGAGTCAGACGCTTAACTACCTGAGCCACCCAGGCACCCCAAGAATCTCAGAGTTTTAAAAGGCCACTTCTCACTTTGGAGTCCTGTGTTCTCAATTTTCCCACCACGGGGAGTCCCTTTGCACGGAGTCATTTCCCCAGCCCCTGGGGCTTCTGTTCTGGCCTTGTTGTGTGTGCAACCAGAGGGGATCTTGTTGACATTGGGGACCCCTGAATGCCATGAGGATTTGGGGGGAGGGGGAAGTTCAGTCGTCGGCTGTGGTTTTATTGCAGGTGGACTGTTAGGTGCACGTTGGCGTATCCATCCATGGGTCATTCTACCCAGAGACTCGTCCCATGGGGATGAGAACCCCCAGATTAGCCTCGCCTGTTCTGTGGAATTATCTAGAATCACGGTTTTTTCTAAACACTGTAGACCTCCCAGGTGAAGGTTATGAAATAAGTACAAAACGTGATACATTTTTAATTCGTTCTTTAATACACCAAGATTATGCAGCATTTGATTTTGTGGCCTTTGCCCCACCTTCTGAGAGAAGTGTGCAGGGCTTCCGCCTGGGGGTCTGCGGGCACGGACTCTGCTTTCTAGCTGTAGTTGCTTGGGCAGTGAGCCCCCTTGACCTGCCCTGCCCTCTTCTCTGTATGTGCTTCGTGAATTTAAAGACAGGGACCAGGTGATGCAGTAGCTTAGAGCTTAGCAGCCACCGGACCTTAGCACACCCTCTGCAAGCCCCCCTCCCCGTTTGTTTATCGGTAGCGTGGAGTGCTGTCGGTGCCGACCCCACGGGCAGAGCACGGAGGCGCCTGCTGAACTTGCCCTCTGTCGCCAGTGTGGCTGCCACAGGCGCCAAATGGAAGTCAGTGATTGTGAGAAACATGCCTGGATGCCTGGTGCTGGCAGTCTTCATGGTTCCCCTTGAGAGGGTCCCTGAGCCGAGCCTGGGCCTTGCCCGGCCTTCTCCGCAGCCGTGCATTGTCACTGTGCGTCCTTTACTGCCTCTCGGTGAAGGAGAAAGAGACACTCCTTCTGGAAGGTGTGTCTGCTTTGTTCACATGGGTTCCTCCTTCCTCTCAGGTGGCCTCTCACCTGGTGACCTGTCAAATTTCGGGGACTTGGCCATGTCTGAGCCACAGAGTGCCCTGATGGCCACACTTCATCTGCCCACGGCCTCCCCGACGAGCCCCTGGCCCAGCAGGCCCACCTGGCAGAAGGAGGGGCTGTCCCTGCGACCTCTGCCGGGCAGGCAGATGGGGTGAGAGCTGCCCTTGAAGGGGTCCCTGAACCACGTCCAGCCCAGATGGTCGTGCGGTCTCTGGGATGGTGACCCAGATGTGCTCAGCTGTGGACGGCTGTGTGTGAGGTGACCCGCAGGCCTTGGCTTCGGCCGGAGCCCCCCACAGCCTGCCCGGTCTGCTCCCAGGGCTGCCAGGCATCAGGTCGCAAACGAGCGGTGCAACGTCCTGCCAACAGCCTGGCTGCCTGCCAGCCCCAGGGGAGTGTCCGGAAGGCAGGGCGGGGCCCTCTGTGTGCGGGGCTCCACGTCGACCCTGACACCCCTGCTACCCTCCCACCGCCCCCCTGCGCTGGACCTCCCAGCCACTGAGACCCCTGCCTCTGTTGATTTCTGCTGAGCTAGAGTGAGGTGGGGGAGGGGGAAACACTTATTTAACAATACCCTGGAGATGCTGTCGGGCTGCGGGTGTGGCCGCAGCTCCAGAGGGACCCGGGGCACCCACGAGACTGCTCCTTGCCACCAGAGCCACCGATCAAAGGACTGCTTCCTGCCCCCCTTGCCCACCCCCCTCAGTAGTCGTGGGCAAGTTTTCCACTGATTACAGAGGCCGTGGTAGGACTCTGGTGACCAAATCCAGATATTTGCCTTCTTGGATCAACCCGTTTTCTCCTTCGTTAAGGAAACGGGACCCTACCAGGGTCATTCTTGTCCTGACTCCCAGAAACAAGTAGCTGCGGAGCACCCACGGCCGTCTGGGAGGCTGCTTCCCACCTGGTCACCGTGCCGGGTGGACGGAACTTCATGAGAGTGACATGCCTTGAGGAAAGGGTTTGGGGACAAGGACCCCTTCTGTGAGCAGCAGCTGCCCTGGGACACGGACGCTCGCTCTCCAACCCCGCATCAGCCGTGTTGCCTGGAAAGAGCAGCCAGACGTGCACTGGCGCACTGGCGCACACCGGCAGCCGGGCCAGAGGCTTAGGCGGATACTTCTATTTAAAAAGATTTGCTGTATTTGACCCACTAATTCAACTTCTAGGAATGTGTCCTAGAGAAATACTTATCAATTCTGGTAGAGACGTGTGCATCCCGTTAATCAGGGCCCTGTGGTGCGTCAGGGCCCCAGATGCCAACCCTGTCCCTAAAGTAAGTACATGCAGCCTTCTTCAGAGCATTGAATGGCGTGAGGAAACGCTTGTGGTGTAATGCATACCGGGGGGGGGGGGGTGGCAGAGTGCGCGTGTGCTGTGTCGTTTGCACCCTGCCCGTGGTGCTGGAACCCGTGTGGGAAGGGGCGGAAGTGGGACCCGCATGTTAACAGTAGCTGTTACCAGTAGGGGGCGTTCCGATGGCCTTTCTCTGTCTCCTGGATGTATCCCAGCAGGCGCTCTCGGACCCCACTGGGTCCCCACTGCTCAGTAGAGAGCCTTCTCCCGGGCTCTCGCCTCCCCTTGTACAACCAGCCTGAGGGGGCACCCCGTTCTCAGGAGCCCTGTGCTTGTGCGGGGCAGGGGGCGGGCCCACTGGGCTGCCCGAGCTGCTTTGCGGGGCACCCGCACGGGCCGCTCTTGCCGCGTGGCTGACACTTGTGCGTGGAATTGAGCCTGGAGCCGCCAGGCACGAGCTTGTCCCACACGTGGCTCTGAACTGGCCCCGCGGGAAGGGACCTCCCCGCTCTGGTGGGCCCGTCTGTTATGCTGTCCCCACTCCCGGACAGTGTGGGACACGCAGGCACGAGGTGCACACAGAGGCCGGCACGTGTGGTGCGGGTTTGGAGGTGGTCCTGCACACCAGAAACGTGTTCTGCTCCCTAGTTCTAGTGACTTCCATGGCCCCTCTCAGATGGCGTAATGGTGTGTGGTCACTGCCCTCCTGGTCCTTCAGACCCACAGTAAGTGTATCTGTGAAGGAGCAGCGCTGCGGGGCCTTTTCTACTGACTGACACCTTTGATCGTCTCTGTGCAAAGAGGCATATAAACTGAGCCCTGTTGTAACAGCCAGCGGACGCCGCCAGGCCTGAGTGACATGTGGGACATGGTGCGTTCCTTAGCTGTGCCGTGCTCTTGCTCTCTTAGTTTCTCCAGAATCACTCCACCTTGCTCATTTGAAAGTACTGTATTTAAAAGAATTTTCAGTCTGAGCTCCTGGGGGGCTCAGCCGGTTAAGCGTCCGACTTCGGCTCAGGTCATGATCTCATGGTTCATGGGTTCAAGCCCCGCGTGGGGCTCTGTGCTGACAGCTCGGAGCCTGGAGCTGCTTCTGTGTCTGTGTCTCCCTCTCTCTCTGCCCCTCCCCCACTCATGCTCTCTCTCAAAAATAAACATTAAAAAAGAAATCTTTTTTTAAGCATTTTCTATTGATGAATGGTGAGTGTTGGTCTCATGCATGACGACTAATAATTTTGTGGAAATTGTATTTCACATTAGGAATCGGTACGGTGTTCCTGTGTTTTGGCCAGCAGCTGCTCAGACCTAGCGTTTTGGAGTAAGTGGGAGTCTGAGGATCAGGCCCAGGCCCTGTACCTTCTGCTCAAGTAAAGGGAGAGTCAGGGAAAGCAGCAGATGAGAATTGTGAAGCCGGCGGGTGGTGGGGCCAGCAGGCCCCGCGTCTCTTCCTCCGGAGTTGGCCACAGGGGCCCTGAGTTCGACCACTGCTCTGTACTGCGTGTGGCCTGGCTTTCTAGGGGACGGGGGTTTTCATTTCATCTTTAAAGAGAACGTACATTTATACGTGATGGATGCAAACTTCAGTGGAGAACGGGTTAGCATATAAAATCAAATTGGTACTACTTTTAATGGAATGATTAGTTATTGAAAGGCAGAAATATATTTTTGTGTTTGATTAATAGGCAAAATATTTGATTTCACACGGCACCCTTAGAAATGTAACAAATGTTCCTAACCGGCGCCCAGTAACTCCAGTGTAGCGCGGCGTGAACTGTCCTGAGCGTGAGGCCAGCCCGTCCAGCCAGCGCACAGACGCCTCTGTGCCCACTGTGGGACAGCCCCCAGCCCAGGCCACTCCACAGAGAGCACAGAAACGGCAAGCAGCTGGGAGAGTGGCAGACGCCACCTGGTAGTCCGGGAGATTGTTCCGTGTAGAGCCTGTGGGCTTGGACCCACGAGCTGACACTAAGCTTTGTCATTCCTTACCCCAGACCATCCTGCTCTTGAGATGAGCAGGCTTACGTAAGCGATGCAGTCAGCATTTCTGTCAGTAAAGATTGTGTGTGTGTGTGTGTGTGTGTGTGTGTGTGTGTGTGTGGCGGTGCTGTAGACTTAGTTCAGAATGTGCATACAGTTAAAACATTTTTATTGTTCATCCATTTTTAGTTGTGCGTGTGGCCACATGGGAGAAAGCAGCTCCCTGTGGGGGGTGGAGGGGGTGTATTTTTGCTCCATAAATGGATTTCTGCCCCCTGGGTGTAGGGGTCTGGCACCTGGCCCTGGAGGCCGGCCCCCTCAGTCAGGTCTCCTGAGAACACTAGCTTCTGCCTGAGGGAGCCCTTTGTTTCCACTGAGCGAAAGCACACGGGAATTTCAGTACTTGGGGTGATCGCCAGGCCTGGACTGCTCCGAGCCGGTGCTGGCGGAGGTGCGGTGTTTACCGGGAGACCTGGCCTCGCTGCTGCTCCGTGGAATGACATTCAGTTTTCCTCTAAGTACATAGTCACACATTTTCTCTGATTGTAATTGCAACTTTGAGTTGGGTCATCCTTTCTAAATACTGGATGTAGTAACGTAAAGACGTCCTTATGAATCTATATGACCAGTTTGGGGGCACCTGGCTGGCTCTGTTGGAAGAGCATGCGACCTTGGGGCACTTGGGGGCTCAGTTAAGTGTCCGACTCTTGGTTCGGGCTCGGGTCATGATCTCACAGTTGTGAGATTGAGTTCCACTCCGGGCTCCACGCAGAAAGCGTAGAGCCTTCTTGGGTTTCCCTCTCTCCCTCCCTGCAGCTTCCCTGCTCACTCTCAAGAGCACGCTCTCTCTCTCCATCTCTCAAAATAAACTTAAAAAAAAAAAGCATGTGACTTTTGACCCCAGAGTTGTGAGTTTGAACCCCACGTTGAGTGTAGAGATTCCTTAAAAAAATAAACTTAAAGAGAATCTAATTATGACCCGTTTAAATCTGTTTTTAAAGACTCTGAAAGAACACAAGAACGTGAACTTTGAGAAGGCAGGGTGGAGGCGTGGGGGGAGTTGGCTGCTGGGCCGGATCACCTTCAGGATTCCTGGGGACCAGAGCCTCTGGGGGGCTGGCCTGGGGGCTTCGTCACCTTGGCACGGATCCGTTCAGAAGAATTGCCGACAGTCAAGTGGAAGAAAAACTCCTGATTAGAAAAGCGTAGCCATGTTCCGTGCACATGTCCACGGCACGGCCGTGGTTTTGCCAGTTTCTTTGTGTCTCAGCAGTGGGAACATTAGAAGGATTGGGTTTTCTCTGAACAGTCTCTCTGTGGCACCCGCGAGTCCGTGTGCCCCTCTGAAGACCCGAGCGGGCCGTGCCGGGGAGCAAGGGCGCTGTCCGTTTGGAGAGGGACCTGAGCCAGTGGAGAGGCTGTGCCGGGGTGGGGCCCACGTCCGCCTAGTGCCGGGAGAGAGAACCCGGGGCGACGTTGCTGAGGATCAGGAGCCTGGAAGTTTGTGAGAGGGACTCGACTCTTGGGTGTTTGAGTTTCTTTGACTCTTTCTCTAAATTGCTGATCTGTACCCTGGGGCCTGTGTGCCCCCTGTGGGTCGGAGGTCCAGGCATAGACCGAGAAGTTGCACACGGGATTCCCGGGGACTCCTTGGGAGGAACCCCGGCCTCTCTCACATGTGTCCGACATGCTCTGCCAGGGTAAGAGCCGTTACCCTAGTGACTGTGGGTCTGAATGGGGCGAAAAGGCCGTTACTGGGTTTATTATTAGAGGGAGGTTGCGCCTGTCCGGCTCGTGTGCGGATCTGTACCCGACGCAGCCTTGTCTGCGGGAGTCCCGTGCTGGGGCCGTCGCCCACCTCTTGGTAGTTGGTCCCGTACAAGCTTTGTGCCCTAACGCAGACTGAACGCATCTCTAAAGAATGAGGATGGCTAAGGACTCACCGTGTCTTTCTCTTCCTCCTCTGCCGTGTAGGCCCTTCAGCGACAGAGACGGGTTTTGGCCGGGGCTCAGTTGTCCACGCGCAGTCCAACCCGAAGGGCTGCCACAGGGCGGGCCGTCTGCCACCGCGCCGCACGCCGGCTTCACTCAGTCCCCGCCGCGCGGGCCCCGCTTGTGCAGCCCAGAACTCGAGGGGGGACCTGCCTCCTGTATCGGGGTGCTTTCACCGCCTCCACTGTTGCAGCTTCCCAAAAGGCCAAACGTGTCCTTCCTGTCATGGAGACTTAACGTTTTGTGTAGTGTTACTTTGTCGCTCGATGAACCCGTTGCTAGAAGGTGTTTCCAAAAGTGGCTTTCTGTTTCAGATTTGCCTTGTTTCTGTATCTTTAGCAACAAGTTGACACGTTCGGTCCCTGGAGGAGTGGCGGGGGGGCCGGGGAGCCCCGTTAAAGATCCCCTCCCGCCCAAAGGGTGGGGAGGCAGACACCCCCCATTATCCTGGAGGCCACTAGGGGGGTTGCCACTTATGACCCGTAGCCTTCCTTCCACTGCCCTCCCCTGCTGAGCCTTCTGCAGTGGAGGCCTTTGGTTTTCTGCCCCCAGAGCACAGAAAACCGTTCCGTTCCCGCCAGCTGCCATGGCATGTGGGGGCGCAGTCCCCGACGTGGCCCCCAGGGATCCTGGATGTCACTTAAGTGGAGCAGGGCGGGGCCCAAGGGCTCTTGCTTGCCCGCGGGCCAGGGCAGCCGGGGCAGCGTGGCCAAGACCGCTTGCCTGAGAGCGTGTGGCAGTGGCCCCTGTGCAGCTTTGATTTCTCCTCCATCGTGACCCAGTTTGCTGCCCCCCCTTCCCACAAAGGAGCTGGAACTGCTTTGCTCTTTCAGATCAGCTGTGAGGTGATGGGGAGAATCCCAATCCTCCGGAGCCTTCGCTACCGAGAGAAGCAGGCTGGGAAGGACGTCGCCCTCCGGGACGAGTCCCGGGGCCTCCTGGGAGCCGGCAGCCGGCCGCCAGCTCGCCCAGGCGCCGTCAGGGGGCCTCGGGACCCACCCCCTTCAGAGCCCTGCTCTGCGCAGGGGGAGGACGGGCCGGCTGACACTGTGTGCATCGGGAACCTTCCCCGGGATGCCAGAGTGAGCGAGCTGAAGAGAGCCCTCAGAGAAGTCGGCGCCGTCCCCGAGAGGCTCACGTGGCAGGGGCCACGGCGCAGGGCCCTCCTGCATTACCAGGCCGCAGCCTCCGCCCTGCAGGCCGTCTCCCGCTTGCAGGGCTTGTGCTTGGGGGCGGCCAGCGTGACGGTGGCACTGGCCAGGCAGCAGACAGGCCGCGACCTGGTGGGTGGCCACATGGAGGATCCACAGCCTGACTGTCGCCCGGCCGTCGCCGACCTGTGATGGCACTCCGCTCCGGTCGCCGTAGAGCCTAAGGAGCCTTGGCAGAGTGTTGCTGTGTGAGCGACTTTGGGCCCAGGTGTCTCCCGGTGGCCCAGCCTCCATCACTGCCCGGGGCCTCCTGACGAGCAGGGAGTAGCGCACAGCCCACAGGTCCCGGCCCTGTTTCTCAGGGTCCCTCAGCCTGCTGGGTGTTTCCCCCATGCTGGCTCCTCTCTGGGTACATGCTGCTTGTCACAGCTCAGCGCTCGCGTCCGCAACGGAGAGCCGATGTGACCAGCAGGTGGTGCCATCTCACTGCTGTGTCCTCCTCGCCTTTCCAGCCTCACCCCTCCCTCGGGGTGAGTGAAAGGAGAGCACCCTTCACTCGCATAGTTTTGTAGGAGGTACCGGCTGCGGAAAACGAGCTGTCCCAGCCTGCGTCACACTCAGTGACAGACGCTCACGCTGTCTGCCTAACGCCCTGTGCTTCTTGTTTTTGTTCTCTCCACTTTTCTGTTCCTAAAAAGCAAACTGGATCTTAGCTGGACTGTACTTTCTAAACAGAGCGCTTTTGCAGTTGGTCCTGGGAAAAAGTCAAAGAGAGCGTTTAAGTGGGGATTTTTTTTAATGTACATGCATGAGAAACGTTAGTGTCTCACCAGCAGGTCTCCCTGGGCACGTTGTTACACCCCAGGAAGGCACGGCCTGCATGCGCTTTCAAGAAAACCTTGAGATGCCAGGGTCCCTTGCAAAAGCATTTTCTCCTGGTTTTACGGTGAAAATACTGTGCAGACGGCAGAAAGAAGAGCCTGCCCTGAGATGCTCACAAGTGCAGGCTCCTTTCCCGAGGCGTCATGAATAAAACGAAGAGCAGAAATATCCTAAAAACAGGCCAAGACCTTTCCTTCGAGCTCCTGGGCTTACTCTTTGCCCCCTCAGTGCCCGCGTGGCTGCTTTCGCCTCGTCTGGCGCTCAGGTCTGACATCAGAGGCTGAACCCGACCTTACCCAGAGCAGCGGTCTGGCTGTCTGACTCCTCATGGTTTTTTGTTTTGTTGGTTTCTTGCCTTGTTTTTCCTTTCTTTTTTCCATAAAATGTCCCTGTTTGACACGTGCCCGTTTAGTCCTTGTGGACTTTGTCGTCGTCGATCTGGCGCCATTACACCAGCGCTGCAGGAAACAGGAGCTGAGCGTGTGGCCGTCACGTGGGCCCCGCGCTGTGTCCCAGCCGCGAGGACACCTGGCAGGCACACAGCAGCCCAGGAAACGGGGGTTACGGGCAGGGGTGCGTCAGAGCCAGCGCGGGGAGGACGTGCCCGACCACAGCATCAGGGGCGCGTCCCGCATCCGCCACTGGCCCACCTCGGGCTGCGGTCATCCCTCCAGCTAGGCCAGCTTGCCCGTGCGTCTCCGCCCGTTGCAGCCAGAATAATCCAGATGTGTTGAGATGCAGATAATCACAGTGAGTTCATCGTGTCCATATTTGTGGGAAACAGATCGGTACAAGCAAAGCCTAAGACCCGGTGCCAGAAATAGAAGCACCTGCACCTCCTGGCCACCAGGCCTTCCCTGCTGCTGCTGCTGCTGCTGCCACTGCTGCAGGCCTGGGAGGGACAGCGTCTCAGGGCCAGCAGGCCTTCCCTGCTGCTGCTGCAGGCCTGGGAGGGACAGTCAGGGCCACCAGGCCTTCCCTCCTCCTGCTGCTGCTGCTGCTGCTACTGCTGCTGCTGCAGGCCTGGGAGGGACAGTGTCTCAGGGCCACCAGGCCTTCCCTCCTCCTGCTGCTGCTGCTGCTGCTGCTGCTGCTGCTGCTGCTGCGGGCAGGCCTGGGAGGGACAGTCAGGGCCAGCAGCAAGGCACTCAGAGTGTAAGGCGGGTGCTTGGTGACCCAGCTTTTCCCCAAGGCTCAGGCTTGGTGATGGTGGCAACGGCCCCAGGGCTGTCCCGGGAGCCATCGCAGGTGACAGAGCCCTGGATGCTGAGACCAGCGGAAACAGGTGGGGCAGCAGCAATGCTTGCTGGAGGGCACGTTGTTAGGGGCATGTGTTGGGCACAGCAGCTAGGAAGCCCCCCGCCCCCCCGCCCCTGGGACAGAGGAAGGCACAGCCCGTGTTCCTCGGCTGAGAAGCTGTGGCCCGGCCCCTCCCCAGCCCCCAGACGACCAGATGGTTGAACTGGAAACAGTCCCTCCCGTTTGAGAGCCTCATCCAGGTGAATAAATAGAACAGAGGAACACGGGGCCTCTGAACGGCTGTCTCAGCGTGCAGGGACCTGACAGGTGAGGTGTGAAGGAAGAGCACGTACGAGACATTTATTCTGCGAAGCAGGCAAGTCTCCGGCAGCACGTGCTCTGTCCTGAGAACTTTCAAGAAACAGTTTTCATGCTGCTTTGAAAGAGTTGAGTCAGTTTTTGCCCTTTTCTCCTCTGATCTCAAGTGAGACAGGCAAATGTTTCTTAAAGATGCAGATACACGATACGGCATTGAACTTTGTGCTAAAGGATGTGACATGGAGAAGAAAGCCCCCAGCACCAGGGCCAGGCGCTGGAGGAGCCCCGGCTCGGGTAAGCCGCATGGGCGCCCTCCAGTGGAGGGGGCCGCCCCAGGGGACAGGTGCCCGAGTCCCTGGTCGTCTGAGGATGGTCGGCGGCTCGAAACCACATCCAGCCTTTGCAGAACTGCCTGTGCAGGGACCAGATGGTGATTCGAAGTCCATCTTATCCATTCAAAAGAGAATAAACTGGGGCTGCCTGGGGGGCTCAGTCAGTTAGGTGTCTGGCTCTTGACCTCAGCTCAAGTCTTGATCTCAGGGTATTGAGTTGAGGCTCCAGGTTGGGCTCCTCCCTGGGCATGAAGCCTACTTAAAATAAATAAACAAAAACAAACTAGTAAGGGAAAAACTAATCTTAGAAATGAAAAACATCATAAACTTAGTCCAACTAAAGACAGAACAGACGCACATACTACTTGGAAGATTAAGGCACAGGATTCTTCCTGATGCCAGTGCAGAGGGAACAGAGAAGGAAAGTGTGAAATAGTGGGGGAAATCATCAAATCGAGGCCTGCTTTAGCTAAAGATTTGACTTCATGTTGAGAAAGTCTTCAAAGTCCAAACCCACAGAAGCGTATGTATCAGTGGCCTTCCCCCACGGTGACCGTGACTTCCTGAAAACTTTATGCTGCAGAACAGCAAAGCTAAGTGCTTGGCACACACCTCATGAGTCGTCCAGCACTCGGATAACTTTCTAGAACTTCCCTGAAGACACGGAGAGGTCTGAATAAAAGGGCTCACTGTGTGCTGGCCACAGGGATCACAGTATAAAGAGGGTAGCTCTCCCTGTGGTGAGTTGTCCTGGGTCTGTCGGCGCCCAGCAGGGACGGGGCCACACGGACAGATGGCATCCATGAGTCCGCACCGTGGTGCAGCGGAGCAGAGGCAGGTGGGAATCCGCAGCGAGAGGGTAACCGCAGAGGGAGGGGGGACTCGTGTAAGATGCAGGGAGAGCTTGGGCTGCTGGTCCGAAGGGGCGCGTGGGGGCTCGGCCTCCTCCAACCTGCCTCCCCTCGAGGGTGCTCAGGCCAGTCGGAGATCTAAACGTGGAGGAAACGTGTGCGAATTTGGGGCAATTCCAGAGAATGTGCTGACCAACAAAACCCTGAAGGTTAGGACAAATCTGCCCCTTTGCTCCCCGTCGGGGTGTCAGGTTCTGGTTCGTCCAGAGTCCCGACGCGCCGTCCGCCGTGAGCTCCCAGGAATCCCCCTCCCAGTGCCGAGATCAACCCCTGCGCGTCTAGTCGCCTTAGCTTTTGTAAGGCCGTCTTCAGTGTCAGCTCTGTGAACGTGCGGCCTGTGGGTCCAGCCGCCCCCATGTGGAGCTGATACAACAGAAGATTCTTTGCCTTTCTGTGGTGGTTGGGGGCAGACGCCCAACTTCTGCCCTGCCAGCCCCCGGGGGAGGGGCCTGCCACTCCTGGGGGTCTGTCCCCCGGGGCCTCGGGCATCCGGTGGCCCAAACACGCACCCCACCCCAGACCCCACATGAGGGGAAGGACGCCTGTGATGACACAGGACTGCAGGTAAGGGACTGAGGACGGGTGTGCCCGAGGGGCCACAAAGAGCCGGCACCAGTGACGGGCACTGGAGGGCAGCAGGGCACCGCTGAGCAGGCCCGCCTGAGGCCCACTGTCCGCCTGCTGGCGCCACGGCAGCCCCTCCCCCTCACGCCCATGCCAGGGCCAGAGCGTCTTACTGGGCACGAGATAGTGGAGTTTTTTGGCTTCTTGCGAAAGGAGCGAAGGTGAGGATTCCTTCCCTCCACCACCTCTAACCTTCCCGTTGCCACATGCTCGCGTCGGCCCTGCCCCGCGGCCCCCAGGAAGCCCTGGCTCGCACATGACTCTTTCCAGGATGTTTGTTCTGGTTCTCACACCCCCGGGCCTCACAGAAACAGGGACCGCCAAACTCACTTCCCTTTATCTGGGTCTAATCCAGCCTGTGTTCCAAATAGTTCCAAACCTTCAGGACCGTGGACTCTAGTCATTTCCAAAACAATAACTTTTGAAGGTGGTGGGGTCGGGAACCTTCAGAACAAATCCTACAGAGAACCCCATACATAAAAACAAGAGGAAGAGGTTACTGTGGAGGTGAGCACGCAGTCACTTCCCAAGGTCATTCTTTAACAGCTGCTGCCTACCTGACCCCACGCCCCCTTTCTCTCCCAGCTGAGGGAGGGGACAGCACCCTCACTAGACAGGCTCATATTGTCTGCCGACGTTGCCCTCCTAGTAATAGCTCAAATTTATGGAGCTGTTTTTTTTTTTTTTTAAGGATTTTTAAAAGTAACCTCTACCCCCAACATGGGGCTCAAACTCACAACCACGAGTTCAAGAGTCGCGTGCCCTGCTGAGGCAGCCGGGAGCCCTGTCTTGAGCTGTTTGAAATGCTGTGAAAGTTGTAAAATGTGGCCCCCCAGTGTTTCTGACACTCCTTTGAGAGAAGGGGTCTGTGCCCGTCCCCTTGCATCCAGGCCTGGGACAACATGGTTAATGCGCTGTGGCAGAGGTGACCCCCCCCCCCCCACCGCTTGCAGGAAAAGGCTAAGACACTAGCTCTCGGGGCCCAACCACACGCGGCGAGGAAGCCCCCAGCTGCCCAGGGCGGGGCCCACACGAGAGGAGCTGACCTCACCCCCTCACGAGCCTGTGGGCGCACCCCCTTAGGAGGGGGCCCCCCAGCCCCAGATGGGCCATCTCAGCCGCGCCTGGTAGTAATTGGTTGTGCAGCGTCCTTTGTAGAGTGTTATTCATAGGTGTTCTATGCATTCATACGTATTAACGATGCTAAAAATCATATATATAGATAAGCAAATGCGTAATTTTGCTCAATCCCCACGGTCACTCCTGGGGGAACCCCTGCTCACAGACGAGCCCACCTGCCCTGAGCCCCCCAGTCAGCAGTGGGGCCGAGGCCAGTTGTCGCCGAGCAGACGGTGCCAGAGCCGTCTGTGCATCTTCCGTGCCTGTGGGCCGCCCTCACCCCGGCACCTGAGGCACAGGCGCACAAAACCAGGGCTGTTTTCTGGGAGAGGAACGGGGCGGGGGGTGATTTCCCCACAGCACACCGGACGCCTGCTCAATCCAGAGCATGCGGGGGGCCTCGGGCTGCGGGCCCCAGTGCGTTGCTCTGTGCTGCCTTCCTGCTGCCCTTGGGTCCCATCTGTGTGTCACTAAGCAGCCCCCCTCACCCACACACACCCGTCGTGAGTCCCTGGTGTGATGGATGCTGAGCCAGCGTGGCCTCCGTTGCTTGGAGCCACCTGTGTCTTCCGGGGCTCGGAGGTGGGGGCGGCAGAGTCAGTGAGCTGCGGCAGACACACCGCGCCCCCCGTCCCCGGTGGGTGCCGGCCACTCAGCCAGTCCTTGCCGTCATCTGCGTTCCACCAGAGGCCGCCTGGGCGGTCTTGCAGACAGGCCCACACTCCGGCTCCTCCAGCGGGGCAGGACTCCTTCCTGTGAATGGACCCCTTTATTTAGTGTTCATAAATCACAAGGTTAAAATGGGAGCTGACGTGTGACCATGTAGTGTGGACACTTTCCACTTTGCATGGTTTGGAAGC